CACCAATGACTCACAGGTGTAAAATACTAATCTTTCCTCAGAAATTACACGTGAATGATTCATGAGAAGTGTTTATGGTGCTGAGATGATATATGTTTAATGAAACATAAATAAAAGATGGACAAGAGGGATTTTTAAAGTGGTTCGGATGCTTAAAGCGAATCCTACATCCATTGTTATCTTATTATTCTTTAACTATTTTTATGATATTGTCTGTAAGACGTACAAAGATAGAGAAATACTTTGTTTACAGAGAAAAATAATAAAGCTCAAATCTATGTCCAGCTCTCATATGCCCAACCTCTCTTTTTCACAAAGAAATATGTCCATTTATACCTTTGAGGTAAATGTAACGAGTGTTTTTGTAAGTTGTCTTGACACGTGGGAGCCACTCTTTAATCCTTATCTTAACAATAAGTCTATCCTTACAAAGAAGTCTACAAAGAAGCTTACAAAGTGAAGGAAAAAACAAAAGAAAAACGGAAAAAGAGAAAGAGAGAGAGAGAGAAATGATGAAGATGAAGGGTGGAGGTTAACTTTGTATGCCTCCTTTGTAGGTTTCTTTGTAAGACTAGCACTGCTGTTATCTTAAAACGGGATAGGATTGATATAAAATATCTCTTGAAGGCGATCTGAGTTTTTGACAACTAATATCATCTTATCTTTAAGTGCTTATTGAACTTTGATTGATAGTGCTGATATTAGTGTGTATTTTTGGCACACCAATAAGTATTGTTTTATACAATATATACTACATTTTAGAGTTAAATGCATGGCCTTTTGACAGGTAAATGTTTGACTATCATGTCGTTTTCTTCTGTCTTCGTTGCCTTGCATATTTATCTCTCCCTTTAATAAACTATACCTTGGATAAAACGAACTTATTATTCTCCACAATTCTCAAAGGGAAAGTGGGAAACACATAACTTAGGGTAACATATCTTAATATCTAATACTAAAAGTATGACACAGATAAATTCTCAAAGAAAGTAATAAGAGATTTTATTAAAAAATTTAATGAATAAAACTTAGCAATTACATAGATATTTATAGGATAAGAATCCTTAACAATAGGTAATTTCTAATAGAATAAGAAAATGGCTATCAAAAAAATAATTAATCTTCCTAAAATAAAATCTTTCCTAGTCCCAAAAAGGGAAAACATGTAAAATCTCAAAAGGAAAATAATATGAAATAAGAAATCAAGTCCCAATTAGGAAGAGAAATAATATGAAAGGACCACGAATTTGTGACTAGACTTTGATATATATATCAAGAACCGTCAAAATAATATGAATTTGCCAATCGAGATAAATAATTTATGTCTCATTTGATCATTCACATCAATTTGTATACAAAAATTTCAAATTAAGCAATAATTATTGAATGGAAAAATCAGTTACATAACAAATAAGTCATACCTTCCTAAAAAGAGTCCTTAATACATGGACTTCTTTAAGAAGTAGACTTTTTAACTGAAATTGACTCTAAACTAAAACCTATTAGGGTTTGGTTCTATATAAGTTACATCCCATCTTTCTTCACCACCACCACCACCACCACCACACACCTTGCTCAATATTTCTTTATCATCCAATTGGTTCAACAATTTCAGAAGGTATGTTTTATATTATTTATGTTCAATACAACTCTTTCTTTCAATTCATTATAAAAACTAAATCAAAATATTTACAATCAGGTTTCTTTCTTTCTTTTTGAACAATATGATCAAGGTATGTTTTGAACAATATGTTTCTTCCTTTTTTTTTTTTTTTTTTTTTCAATTTTGATGTTAGATACTAGAATATTTTCCTCATAACCAATCACAAGGATGTTTTCCCACTCACAGACTTTGGAAGAAACATCTGCCCACCCATAGTTAATCTCTGTCAATGGAATCTATATTACTTGACAGAGCTAAAGTTACGAAAGGACTATAATACCCTTTACTATTTGACTTTATAAATTTTAATGAGGTTGAATCACATTTTCCCACCAGAACTTTATTAAATGTATTTTCACTCATAGTTTAGTTTATTTTAATTTTAAGGTACTAAATTTTAAAAAAATTAAATAAAGTCAATTATTAAAATTAAAAAATACGAAAAAATTATAAAAATTTGAAAAAAAAAACTCAGTGGTCATCAGGCGGGCCGAATCGCCTTCTGTCAAATCGCACGTAGCCAGGTGTGATTCTAGCAGATTCGCACCCAGTCAAATGCGATTTTTTTTTTTCAAAATTTTTCTCCTTTTTTTATAATTTTTCAGTTTTTTTTTCTGAAATTATAAATATAATTTCATAAAACATATACAATTTTAATAAAATATTGTTTTTGTAGCTTTATAAATATTTAATTGACAGATATTATTATAACTTTTAAGAATAATATATACAAATTTAAATTTTTTTAGAAACATGCATACTTTAAAAGTGAAACCTCCATTGTAATTATAAAAATTGAAGATAGGGGGTTAAATGGCTAATTCCCAAGTTGATGAAGGTAATTTTATGTGTTAGTAATTTAGGAGCGTAAGGAATACTAACCGTATGATATTTATTGTGCAAACTAACGAGCATGCCCTTTTGCCATTAAAACTAATGTCTGAATTCTAACAATGGGTCGGAAATTACCAAAGTTTATGGGTGGAAAAGGAATGTTCACCAAACTTTGGGTGGGAAGATGGTATTCTCTCTTAGATAATAATATGGTGATGTTCACTTGTGAACCCTCAAGGGCCTCAACTCTATTCCTTATGTTTTTGTTTTTTATTATCACGGAACGGAGAAAACTCATCATTTTTTTTTTTTTTTTCTCTTACACAAAACTTATAGGAAACCTAAACCTTTATTTTTCTCTGTCATTTGATTTTTTTCATTGGATTTATATCCATATTCTATTTCAACTCTTTATTCAGATCAAATTAAGATCTATTTTGAATATGTTTTATTATCAAACATGATTTTAAATATTATTTTTAAAATATTATTTTTAGATAAACATGTCAAATGAATGTTCATTGTCATGACAATATATGTCAAACTCTTTTTTGTTCTCGATAAATAAACACTTTCTCTCTCTCTCTCTCTCTATATATATATATATAGTCTTTCTCTTATTAGGATATTGAATTTGAGGCCATAGATTTTTTTAATGGTTGACATCTATTCTTATTAAAATTAGTTACCAAACAAAATTCATAGGAGAGAGAGTGAAAAAAATAAGGTAAAGAAAGTTAAAATTTCATACAACTTTAATATCAAGTGTCTTTTTAATGACCATCTCCAACCATAAACACCAAAATGATGCTACTTTCACACTGTTTTATTATTGCATTTCTAACTTATTACACAAATAGAATGACCTGATTGGTAGGTTATGTGAAAAAATGTTATTCTGAAAAACTATCTCAATAAGATAGAATAGGATTAAATCAAATAGGATATAATTCTAAAAATATATTTGATATAATATTTGAAAATTATAAATGAGTTAGATAAAAATAGGATAAAAATTAGAATTGTTGTTTGGTACATTTTTTGGAAAACATTTTCTGAAAATATTTATATTATTTTTTAATCTCCTATATTTGTTAATTTAGCTAAACACCCCCACAATAAAAATTTATAAATTAACAAAAATACCCCCACCCACCCAAAAACTACTAGCAACCGGCCATTATCATCAGCCGATAGTTGTCGAAATGGGGCACGACTGGCTGGATCTGGCTAATCTGGCTTTTTCTGGCCAGATCCACCATGGATCTAGTCAGAAACAGCCAAATCGACGCACGACCGACCAGATCCGACCAATCGTGCGTCATTTCGGTGCCGGCGGCCAGTGGTGGTTGCTGGCGGTCAACAATAGCTTAGGTTGGTGGGGGTGTTTTTGTTAATTTATAAAGTTTTATTGTAAAACGTAATTGTTTTTGGTTGAATAGAGTTGGAAAAATGTTACCATAAGATAATAAAAAACAAGTCCCCCCTTTTTCATTTTTAATAGAAAAAATCTTATTTAATTCAGATTGATTTTCAAAATAATGATCTCAATAAGTAAACAAACAAATGTTATGTTTTTTAATCCAAATATGATAACAGAAAAATGATTGAAAAGAGTGAAACAAACAAGGGAAATGTTTCTTAGAATATTCTTTTTCTTTTTCTCCACACTGAATTGATGTAAAACATCAAAATAAATGTTACTCTAAAGCTCAACCCAAATCTAAAAGTCACACCAAATTGGTGTATGAATAGTATCATACCAACCCATTAGAGATGCCCTTACAAAATCTCAATCATCGATAAAATCCAACGACTCAAATTTAACGTCATATGTTAAAAATCATTAGTACGTCTTGATTAAAGAAAAATATATATAATATTATTTGTAGAAAATAATATATCCATAATCTATTCTCACAAACTTCTTCTCATAATCCTGTTGTGATAGCTCATAATTGGTCAACTTATAATAAATCTCACATGGGTTTTACGTAATAAATTACGATTAACTAATTACGATCTGTCATATCATAGTTGTGAGAAAGGTTTATGAGCGTAATACTCGTTATTCTTACCTTAAAATTCTAAATTCACAAGTTCAAGAAATTCCAAGCTCCATTTTAAATTGTAGTCGAAGAATCCCAATCAATCAAACTTTCAAACCCCATCAAGTTTCACTTTCACCATCCCACTGTAGACAGAGGTTAGTTCTTTCCCATCCCACTTTTGGTTGTACCCTATTATCTCTCCATGATCCTAATTGACTAATTCTAACAAATCTCTTTTTTGAACTATAAATCTCAAAATTCAGGGTTTTATTTTACTAACAGTTTTTATCAATTTATTCGTTGACTTACATAATCATCTATACTTTTATGTGTTTTCATTGTAGAAATTTGGTGAAAAAAGCTTCTGGGAATTTTTTTGGGGAAAATTTTCCGGCCTTTAATCTTTCATGCATGAACAGATAGTGATGATGAGTAGTTGTGAAATGTGGGATTGCATAAGAAAACAATGTGATTACATGGAGTGTGCTTTAAATGAACTGGGTTTTAATTGTTTGTTTAGATGAATAATATTCTAAGTTCATGGACTCTAATATTGTTTCCAGGAGTGGATTCAAGAGATTGAAGAAATAAATCATCGCTAAAATGGTAGTCTTGCGAATGCGTGGTAATGGTAAAGTGCAGGAGAGGAATAAGGATAAGAATCAGAAAGCTTCATTGTCTAAGGTAGAGCAAATGGGTCCAAAAAAATGGGTTGTTAATTCAAATACTTGTTCAAATATGCTGCTGTGTTTAAAAGGACTGGCGTTGGATCCATGCGAACCAGAAACATTGAAAGATTTGGTCAGAAAGTTGCGGAATCAGACTCTTAAGTTGCGGAAAGTTTGGCGTTCTAATGATGGTGAATGTTCTCAAGTAAGCGCCCAACTGAATCTTTTTCTTTTACTCATGATTATTTGTTTTCCGTATAATTGTTGCATTCAATTTTATTTTTTGTGTTTCCAATGTTATATTTGTAGCCCTTGCATATATTTCATTAAAGCTAGTCACTGGTAGTTCCTTGAATTTAGAGGTATAATGAAAATATTGTTCTTAGCGACATAACTATGGTAAAATGGATTGAGCAAATTTGGCTCGATTCAGCTTAACATAATCCCCTTTTTGGGGCTGTGTGTTGTGTTCATCAATTGGTTGATATATACCTACTACCTTAATCCAGCTTCTTTCCCTTTAGATCTTGGCCCCATGTAGGCTAGTCATTAGTAGATATATACTTGGGTTAAGCAGTGGAGCAATTAAAGAAAATCCAATAATGTGTACATTTAGGCTCCTTGGAGAGAAAATGTGGTGAAGTACCTATGTTCAATCACAATTATGTGGGTTGGCGACTATTAGGAGTACTATAGGAGTGATGAGTGATTCTCATTGTGGTGGCTTAGATTAAGTACTGCAATGAGTTATGTGTTTTATGGCATCAGCTCATCACGGATGAGATGAGGAAGTTGCCTGAGATGGTTTTGTCAGTACTACTCTGACATCAGCTAAGGATTTAGTTAGAGAAGTGATATAATTAGGTTGAAATGGAAAACAAGATAAGAAAAGCTAGGACATTATTCCCAAGAATTTTACAGAAATGACTTAAGATGATTAAGAAGGGATCATTGAAGCTGATTCCAGTTTTGAGGGTGTTGCCTAGATCTGAGAGTAAAGATTCATGCCGTGAAAATAGAATTGATGCTTGCATTTAAGGTTATATATAAATGGTAAGCTTCTTTTTCAGTATAAGGAGCTATCTTCTCTCATTTTTTTTTTTTTTTTCTTCTTAGTGTGAATAATTCAGAAATAAAGTAATTACCTTACAGTTTTGTTAGTGACTGGAAGACTGAGAGTCCGTTATGGATAGTGGCTGAATGGAGTACTAGATAGATTGTCTTATGCTTTCATCTGATTGGCTTCAGTTCAGTTTTCAGTTTTCACTTTCCTATGTAGCTGGGCTGTTCTTTTCAGTTTGTCCCATCTAAAGTTTGTCGTTAAGTGAATTCAAAGGAGAGCTAAATCAGTATATATATATAGATACCAAGTGCTCTTTATGCACTTGACTCCATGCTGAATCATCTCCATTCAGCTTTGCACTCTTCACTTGATAAAATATTGAACTAACAATCCTTGACTACCATAAAATTTGTTGACTTTAACTTTTGGTGAAACCTTCAACAGCTGCTATGTTTTGTCAAATAAAATTGAAGTGTATCTTCCTCCCCCTTTGGCAGATCCAAAATACAACCATACTTGCTTTCCTTTTTCAATTTAGCCCATCTACACTTTAAGGCAACAGTGAGTTAATAAAATGTTAAAACCTGTCCCTTCAAGATAATTTTTAGTTTTTTTTTTTTTCCTGAATCCTATGAGAACATCCTTTTCCTCTCCCACTTTCTTCAGAAAAAGAGAAAGCGTGAGCAGTTTCTACAACGAGGAAATTTCACTAAGGCTTCTGGATTGGCTTCACAGGATTCTAATAATCAAAATGTTAAGACATTGGGTTGTAAGCAGCTAGGTTCTGCTTCAGGCTTACCCAATTTAGCTGTAAGGAACTCTTGCAGTTCGGGAAGTGTATTGACATTTGACAGTACTTTCCAATGGAAGCAGCCAAGTACTGAGTCAAACAATTTGGATAACAGGACAAACTGGAGTCCATACAGCAATAATGTTTCTTGTTTAGTTGACACGGAGGAATCGATTAATGGTTCAAATCCATTAAGTTTGGAAAACTTTATTGTCAAGGACCCAACCTCGGAGGATTCCTGTGAGTTGATTATCAATTCAAAGTCATCAAGCTCAGAAGAGAAACTTCAACAAGAAGTCAGGTCACTGATCACTGAGAGTGAAGGTGAAAATCTTCCAAGAGCTGTTATTCCTATAGGGCCTGGATTCCAAGCTGAAATTCCAGAGTGGAAGGGCCCAATCAGCAGGAAGGACCTTTATCATTCAGAAAGTTTAAAATGGTTGGGCACCAAAATGTGGCCCCTTGAAGGAAAAACTAGATTAAGGAACAGCTCTAAAGTTATTGGGAGAGGTAGACCTGACTCTTGTTCTTGTGACTCTCCAGGATCTAAAGACTGCATTAAATGTCATGTGCTTTCGGCTAGGCATGATTTGCAGTCTAGTCTTGGTCCCGCTTTCTTGAGTTGGAAGTTTGATGAGATGGGAGAAGTAGTTTCAAAAGCATGGACATTGAGGGAACAACATACGTTTGAATCCTTTGTGAAAAAAAATCCACTGTCGGATGGAGCAGGTTTTTGGGAAGCTATCTCCAAGCTTTTCCCATCCAAGTGCAAGAGGAGCATTTTGAATTATTACTATAATGTGTTCATCCCTCGACGCATGCGCGAGCAAACAAGCTCTTCTTTTGATCAAGTTGATAGTGATGAAGATCAAATTGATGATGATGATGATGATGACAAGGGGTTATGTTGGAGGAGGTACAAAGCTAAACATGATATATAATCAATTCTAGCATTTGAAAACTTAGTATTAGCTTGTCATATGAAATTTCCACTTCTATTAAAAATTTGGAATTAGAATTTCTTACATTTTGGACCTCATATTTTCAAAGAAGATAGGGAGGAGTTATCTTTTTAATTTTGGTTTATTATCTTACTATATGTGATAAAATTTAAAATTTTCAATATAATGATTAGCATTGACAGTTTAATAATTATCGACAATATTTTCTTTCAATTTAGTTGCAACTGTCCTTGACGCATTTTGGGTTTCGTTTGGATCGAGGGATTTTAAAATCCATGGATTTTGTACCATCCATGGATTCAAAATCCATGTATTTGATAAATTTCATTGTTTAGTTTAAATATAAAATTTATAGATTATTGATTCAAATTTTTATGCACCCATGTTCGCGAATACAATTCATGGATTTGATAAATAATTTCTAACTTTACCCTCAATATCCAAAACCAACAAAAATTCAACTTTTATCTAATTAAATACAAGTCAAATTATGTTTGATAGAGAAGTCCAATTGTATAATAAATGATTTTTTTTTTTTTTTAAAAAAAAAAAAAGAATTCGAAGTTAATATAATACATTATCAACTATCTTCATTTAGAGTATACTATATTATTTCTTTACTATGCTCTCAAGATACTGATGATGTAAAGGTGAAGAGCTCAAAAAGAGAGAACGACAAATATATTTCTTTTAATTAGGGAGAATGACAAATATATTTATTTTAATTAGGGTAAATGATAATTACTGAAATATTAAATTATTAACAAAGATAGTATTGGAAAATTTAAATAGTAACAAAATCCTTCATTTTATTAAATCTGATGGATTTGGCAAAATTCCACCTATGAAGTGAGATTTTAAAACCCTAAAAAATGAAGGATTCTGGAGGGTAGTGGATTTTCTAAAATCTGTGGATTTCAATTTTTTTTTTTTTTTTAAAACCAAACGAAGGATTTTACCAAATCCATAGATTTAACGAAATCATTCATTTAGAATCTGTCAATCGAAACGAGGCCTTAATGCTTCAAAAGTGATCATCATCAACACAATTAAACATATCAAATAAAAAAAATCATAGTAACATAAGGAAAGCCCATTAAAAAAAAAAAAAAAAAAAACCCTAATTTTCTGAAGATAAAACTAAATTAAAGGAAACCAGTTAGCATAGGGTTCCTAAAGTGGTGAAGAATTTGTTTTACATCAAAACCATAATTTATTAAGTTTAGAGAACAATATATGCTTAATAATAAATAGAATCTCTTTATAGTGATACTCTATATAAGAATAATCTCCATGTAGTCATAAAAAATTATTGTCCTAATTTGGGTAAGTTATAAACAAGAATAAATTCTGCATTGTAATAAGTTATAATTTTTCTAAATTTCGTCTTAAAGAACTTGCTTCTACGTATTAATAATTATTTGTATATTGCAAAAAAAAATATATATTATGTTACATTAAGGGTTTAAGATAAAATAAAATATATGTCTAAAGTTATTTGGGACAATAATTTATGCTTAAAGTTGTTACCACGTCTTTGAACTTACGGATATGTAATAACTCGCTAGTGTGAACATCTTATTAAAACAAAATATTTCTAAGTTTTCAAGTATGTTTAGAACTTTTTGGCACGAAACTATGTATATCTCTTTTATCAATGTCTATACTTTGGATTTAACATGCTCCATTAATTAATTATTAATACAGTGCATATTTTATCTCTATACCGCTTATAGTAATGATAATTAAGTCAAAACAATAATTTTTGTAATTACACCTCTACAGTAAAACCTTTCCATAGTGATACTCTATATAAGAATAAACTCTACATAGTCATAAAAAATTATATTCCCAACTTGGGATAGTTATAAAGAAGTTTAAACTCCACTTTGTAATAAGTTATAATTTTTTTAATTCATGTCTTAAGGAAAGTTATCTCCACATAGTAATAATTATGTGTATATTCCAAAAAAAATATATTATTTATTACATTAAAGGTTTAAGATGAAATAAAATATTTGTTTAAAACTGTTTGGGAGAATGATTTATGCTTTAGAATTGTTACCATATCTTTTGACTTGCGAGTACATTACTCGCTAGCATGGATATGTTCTTATTGAAGCCAAAATATTTATAACTTCTCAAGCATGTTTAGAGTTTCTTGGCATGAAACTTTTTGTATTTCCGTACTATCATCCTCATGATTATTTCCTTTCTTTTCTTGTGCAATTGTAGCAATGATTTCTTCTTCAGTTAAAGTATACATGACTTGTTGCTCATTTGAATTATTGAGGAAGACATTAATATCCATTCGATTAGTGTAGTGAAGTTGTCAAATCTGATCACTCAATTCTACAATGGCTATTTGATTCTTCTCATCCATTTTATTTACAACTTGTAACACATCGACATCAAAGGTTCTAATTTTGTAATGTTTAAAATAATTAGCAATTGTCTGTGGCTTCACATCAGTTTAATCATGCAGCAACTATATTTATAATTCTATCAAGGACACTTATCTTTGCTGGTTCTAAGACATGATCTTCTATTCGTTTAGAAGCGCTTAATTGAAATCATAATACTATTAAAACATGAATTGAAATCCTAATACTGTACTACTAAAACATGAATTATAAAATATAAAATTTTTGTAATTACACTTCTATTCAATTATAACATCTTTATAGTAATAAAATTAATTAGTTCCATCATTATGACTATAGAGAGGTTTTACTGTATTAGGTTATAACCTCCTCATAAAATTAGTTTGGTCCCACTATTATGACTAGAGAGGGGTTCTACTGTATATATATCTATATGGTTTTGGAATATGCAAAGTCATCTTAAAAGTCTGAAATTTTGCGTTCTATTTAATGTTTTTCTCTCAGTGTAAATTCTATAAATTCTATTATAACACAATTCATGCAATTTTAACCAATTCAAGTGACACATTTCCTTCTTCCTCTAGCAAATCAACCAGGCCACCCAAAGTTAAAACATGAACTCATTTCAAAGAAAATAAAGAATGAAAGTATGAAAGAACACAGACTTAATTTCTTCAGTGATATTCTTCTCTGTTGAATAAAGAAGACATAAATAAGTAGGTTACAATGGGGAAACAATTCCAGGAAAAAAAAAAAAAAACCTCTCTTAAAAAGGAAAAAATAAAAATAAATCAATTAAGATTTAACAATTAGGAACTTAATCTTCTTATAAAAAGAAAAGAATAATTAAGAAATAAAAAAACTCCTAAAAAACAAGATACACTAACAAATATATAACAAGAAAACAAAACAACCAAATGATCACAATCAACGGCTTGATGACCGAACATATTCGTGTTGAGTTGTGCAAAATGAAAGAATCAAATCCCAATTGGAAACAAAAAGATCTCGTGGGTGGTTAGAAGATACTCATGTCGACGAGTTATCACGTACCTGCAAGTTCAAAGATGTGATAACAACTTTAAAACATAAATCATTATCTCAAACAACTTTAGATAAATATTTTATTTCATCTTAAACCTTAATATAACATAACATATATATTTTGTAAAATACATATAATTATTACTATATGAAGGCAAGTTCCTTAAGACGGGACTTAAAAAATTATAATTTATTACAATGTGACCTTTATTCTTATTTATAATTGGTCCAAGTTAGAACTATCATTTTTTACAACTACAAGCAGGTTATTCTTATATATAGTATCACTATAGAGGGTTTTACTATACTATTATTAATTTCCTTTCATTTTTAATTTATTAAATTTTCTTTTAGTTTTTATTTTTATTTTTATTTTTTTAGTTTTTTTATTTCCTTAAAAAAAATGCTTTTTGGTCTTTTTTTCAGTTTTTTAACATTTGTTAAAGTTATACTTTATACTAAACTAACTTCAGAAAAAAGAAAAAAAAATCAAGGGCATCTAAGTAATTATATCATTTTTCCATTAAAGTCAATGAGAACCAACCATTAGGTGTCCCTAAATTGAACAATTTATAAGTTTTATCCTCCTATTAATAAAGTTTGAGAACTTTGTACCTTAATTGATAATATCTTAATTTAAAAAAAAAAAAATGAATGTTAAATTTGTATCTAACAAGTCATTAAATTACAAAAGAATTTAGTATTGGCGGTAGTTTGTGTTAAATGATCAGAATAACCTGAATTTATTGAATTTGCATACATCTTGCCCCAAGGTTGGATCATGTATGCTCATATTTTTTTTTTTTAAGTAAACCTTGTGTGTTTGACCTTTTTATAATGAGCATCCGCTAGTTTCGAAAATGCAATCATAATCCCTATATATTTGGCCTTTTTATAATAAGCATCTACTGGTTTTGGAAATGCAATCCTAACCCCGTGTATTTAACATTTTTTGTAATGAGCACTCACTGATTTTGGAAATGTTATTAATTCAACCTTCAAATTTATTGATAATTTCATCAATTTAACCTCCAAAAAATGTATTAATCTCTTAACATTGTTGACAAATTTTGAATATTAGATTAATTGAATTTGGGTGAATAATAAAAATGGCATTTCATTCACATTTAAACAAAATAACCTAACAATAATGATAGACGTACAAACAAATTTTACAAAGATTTTTATACAAACTAATGTGATAGAAAATAAAGTTAGTAAATACAAAAAGTCAAACTCATTATATTCAGTTTTTTATTCATTTTCAGACACATTAATTAGTATATAAATCTTTGTAAGATTTGTTTATACATCTAATATTATTTATAATCTAATGATCAGTCAAAATGGGGTTTAAGGTCACATTTCCAAAACTAAATGATGCTCACTACAAAAAAGGCCAAGCACAAGAGAGTTTAATAAAAAATAAAACCTTTTAAAGATACTTTTATAATTATAAATTTATCTTTAAAGTTAATTAACTAAACTTAACCCTAGTTACTTGATAGTTTTCAATAATAGTGGATGTTTTTCATATTAAGCGGTCTCACATAGTAAATAAAATAAACTCTAAAAATAAAATTACTAAATGATAGGAATGAATCATGAATTAAATATTATAATAGAAAAAGGAACATAAAAAAGTGGGAAAAAAGAAACTATAAGAAATTTAAAGACATCTCCTAGAAGATAATACTCCCATTTCATTCAAATGTGGTAGCTATACATAATACAAGTTTTTTTTTTT